GGATGCGCTTATCAAAGCTCCATGTAGTCCTGGGTCCCCCCTCACTCACCTCAGCAGGGGGCTCTCTGCTCCTCAGCCTTCCCAACTCCAGTTCATGCTGCCGCTGTTTCTCCCGATCCTCCAGCTCTTTCAGTTTTATCTCCCTCTCCCATTCCAGCTGCCTCAGCTCCAGCGATGGGGAGCTCCGCCGGGAGGATCCTCTGCTGTCTGCGGGAGTCATGGAGCCCCAGGTGTTCGCCAAGCTCCTCCCCTAGCCTTAGGTAGGAGGGGCCTCGGAGTGCTCTCGGCAGCAGTCTGACCATTCCCAGCCGGGACAGACACGAGCGCCGGCGCTGCATCTGCCATGCTGCTTCCTCCAGGGCAGGGATCAGCTCCTCCGAGCTATCCTCCTCCAACTGGGCAATCAGCTGTGCTTTAGTGAGGTTTCCAATGCACAGCCGTCTCTCTTTGCACAGCTCTACAAGGTCCCTCTTGAGATGGTTATACATCTCCCCGTTGTTCCCAAGTTGTTGTGGACTTGCAGGCCTGTGTGCTCTCGGCTCCCCACGGTTTCCAGGAAGAACTCCTGTTGTGCCAGCCCTTCTCCAGGTCACCACCTCTCTTCCAGGGTCAAGCTGCAGACTCCTCCGTCCCTGGAATCGCTCACCAGAGGGACCCCATTCCTGCAATAGTCCTTCTCTCTCCCAGAGTCAAGCTGTAGAGTCCTATGCCCCTGGAACTGCTCACTGCAGTCCCCAGGGGGACCCCATTACTGCGACAGTCCTTCTCACTGGTCACACACTCCCAGGGGTTAAGCGTAGCTCTTTCGCCTCCTGAAACCGCTCTTCTCTGAGCCTTCAGCATGCCTGGTTCTCGTTAATCCCCCTTCATTTTACTGCTCCCAGTCACTTACTGCAGGAAGCGCCATCCACAGGGTGCAGTACATCCTACCACTGCCACCAGTTGTCACAGAGTGTGGGGGAGTCAGGGTCCTGCACGCACACCCCCCCCCCACTTCCTGCGATTCACCATGACTCCCAGTGTGACGGGGTTGGGACTCACCACTGCAGCACCTCCTGCTGACTCGTCAGGGAATTAGCTCAGTCCAGTGTGGAGCACCCTCTACTGGTGGTGTCCCATCCGTGTCTCGCCCTCTCTTGGCACCTGGACCCATATTTCTCCCTTCTTGCGGCGTCCTCTTCAAGACACTGTCCTCCGGCAGTGCCCCCTAGTTCTCGTTCACCCCCTTCCAGGGTGGGGTTTAATCAGCAGTCTTTCACTTCGCCCAGCCACAGCGGCCAACCATACCCAAAGTCTAACCCCTTTTGCCAGGGGTCTGGTGCAGTCCACTATCGCCACGTCCAACAGCTGGGTGTATGGGGAAGGGGGGGATCCAGACCCACCCTCTACTCTGGGTCCTGACCCAGGGACCCTTTGGCAGCTGCCTTCCTGCCCTCCTCCTCTCCCCTTGTCCGCCTCTCTCCCTGGGTCGCTTCCCCTTCATCCCCTTTGCACCAGCCCGGCCCTTCCCTCGGGGCCTGCAGCCTAGCAGATACCAGGCTGGAGTTCCTTCTGCTCCCCTCACCTGCCCCCACACTGCGCTGTCCATGGTGCTAGTCCCTTCGCACAGGAGACAGACCTTCACCCTCTGAAGGCCTAGGAGAGACTGACTGCTCACTTCCTGGGCAGCCTTTATATAAGGCTGAGTCTGGCCCTGGTTGGCTATCTCTTACTCAGCCTCTGATTGGCTCCCTAGCAGGCCTTCTCTGATTGGCCGCCCACCCGCACAGCCTCTCTGGCCTGCTGGAGCCCCCTCTAGTATAGGAGTGGGGCAGCCACCCCACTACACTCAGCCAGCCAGTAAAACTGGTTTATTAGACGAGAGGAACACAGTCTGAAACAGAGCTTGTAGGTACAGAAAACAGGACCCCTCAGTCAGGTCCATCTCGGAGTGTGGGGAGCCCAACCCAGGTTCTTGGCCTCCCCCTGTCTCCCCAGCCAGCTCCAAACTGAAGCTCCCTCCAGCAGTCTCACCCAGCCCCCGGCTCCTCCTCCAGCCTTTGTCCAGTTTCCCGGGCAGAAGATGTCACCTGGCCCCACCCCCTCCTGGGCTCAGGTTATGTGCTGGCTGTCAAGTATCATCCCTTAGTGAAGTCACACCCTTATATCCCACCACCATCTAGTATTAATGCAGAGAGTAAACTAGTAAAACTCCCATGCAAGATTACCAGGTTAATACTCCCTACCACTGTTCCCTCTAAGCTGTGCGTGTGTGTGCGTGCACATAGATCCTAAACCCCACGTACACAGTGAAACACGATGCACAAAAAATGAAATACTACATTGGATCTAGGCTGAAATATCATTTACGGGCGACTTTTGACATTGTTCGCCCGCCATCTATCAACACAGCCAGATTCTACTAGCTGGCAAGGGGGGGGAAGGAAAAGGAGGTTAAATTTCCTTTTTTCTAAGTATTTAAAAAAGACATTTATAAAATAACATGGTGTAAAACTGTTATCACAAATCGCAAATTAAAACTTTTAAAATGTATAAGCATTTTACTCGCTTGGGCGCATTTGCCTCATGGCGCACAAATTTGAACTCTACTTCAAAATTTTGCACAGAAGAAATTTTTTGTGCACACGGCCTGTCAACAATTAGAGGGAACATTGCTCCCTACTCCATCACACTTGGGACTAGATTTTTGTGAGGGTTATGGTGAGACGTTCAAGAGTGGTGGCTGACTCTACCCAGATATTGCCCAAATGGATTAGGCTTAATATACAAATCTGCTATGACTTTACATTTATTTCAGTACCCGAGGGTCTCAAACTATATTCCAACAAATCCATAGCTATTTCTACAACATGTCTCAGAACTACATAATTGAATTATGAAAAGCTGCTGCCTGGAACAAAATTCTTGTATCTACACAGCATTTGTCTCTTGACTTGGCTTCCAGATTTAATGCTGTTTAGGTGAATGATCCTGCAGTCTTTAATTAGTTGACCTCAGACCTGCATTCTTTGCGCATTGTTACTGCTGTTTAATCTCAGAATGGGTTCGGTACTGACAATACTCAAAAGATGTAACTTGCCAGTGTCTGTGGTTTCTTGTGAAGAATGTCAGTATAGATGCACATTTTCATTCTCCATCCTCCCTTCTTCAGCATCTCCGACATGGATTCCGTTTTAATGGATCTGAACATTGGTGTTGTGAGAGAGCATGCTGCCTCAATGGTCAGAGCATTGTAGAGGGGTCTGCTTTTGGTGCTGAAAGCGTATGCGCATTTGAGTGTGGATCTATGCTGACAATACTTGAAGAACCAGTTATTGTTTAGTAACCTCTTTTTTTTCAACAGAAAGTCAACCACTTTTTCTAGGGGGTGATGACTAGCATGCACATATTCTTCAGAATGGTTTGGTTATAAGTGAATAATTTCCTTGTACTCTGTGTGTCATTTTGTTCTTTTTTTCGAGCTGTGGATTCTGATGTCCTTTGTAGCTGCTCTTTAATCATAGAATAAAATCTGCTTTTGACTTGACAAGCCCTCCATGATAACTAGGAGGACTGAAAAGGATTTTAGTTTTCCTAGGGGCAGATTGCGAAAGTTTCACAATATCCTCTATGAACTGGTTTCAGTTAAGTTGACTGGACCTGTATGTGTGCATCCCTGCCAGTCTATATCAGCTAGGAATAAGATGATTCCTCTCTGAGAAAGGGACAAAACCAGTTAGGGGAAGGAGTAGCAGACTCTCTTTACCACCCTTTTCTCTGATCAGCACAAAGGTGCTTTAAATCTTCCTGCACGGAATTATTTTGGACTATGTCCAAGCCTTCATATATTGCCCATTGTCATTTTCATTTGTATGTTGCAGCTGTTTTGAGTGTCTCTCAAGTGATGTAACTGAATGCATCACTACTTAGAATGTAATAAAGGGGTTTGGACAACCCCTTAGTCATAAACCATGTGTCTCATGTGCCCTACCTCTTGTAGTTTTCAAATAGACTGAAGATATTCTTTGTTTGTAGATTAGGAGCCTGGAATTTCCTTCTACTTTCTTTCTAATATCCTTTATTGCTGGCTGATTTTTCTGTGGGGTACACACATTTATATGTTGGCAATATCTCCTTTTATTAATTTTTGTAGTGTTTTGAAATTCCTCAGATTTAAATGGCTTTTTTTAAACAGAGAGTTGTTGGTGTGAATACTGTTCATTGGGAAAAGATTGCAAGATCGTTGCACTGTGAGTATAAAACAAATTAGCAAAGATTTCATTGCGCTGAATTGCTGGGGGATATCTCTTGCAGTTGTGATTCCTTGTTGATATTCCATCTCTTGTTTTGCTGACCTGGAAACTGCATTTAAGCACCTTAGGTTGCATCATAAATATGGTAGAATAGAAACACATATATGAGCCATGGAAAGTATTTTATTTAGATCTGCATAGTATGTTTGGCTTTTTTGAGAGACTGAGGAAGGAGCTAGTTTTCCAAAAGAACTGCTTTGAATTTTTATTCTTCTTTATTGATGGCAAGTCCATCAGTCAGCAATGTCAGATTTTCTGTGCAGTCTTCATCCCCTTTTTAAGAATAAATGGGGAATTTCGTCTCTTGTTGCCATTGTGTGTCACTTATTCTGACTGGTAGCAAGCCCCTGTTGCACTACTTTGCAAATCCCAGTGAGCAGTTTTTTGCATCAAAAATCACTACGTTGTTTGGTATAATTTATGATGATTGACAGTCTCATAGTAAGGTCACATGACTGAAATATCAAGGATATTGCAGTGAAAGCCCCCCACTGTAACTGAATCAAGTTGTGGTATTAGTTTCCACACCTTCATGAGCACCAGTTTCACATATGTAGTTAAATAATGTTTGAATTGGATCACATTTTAAAAATGCTGCTGATTCTGGCCTCCTTCATATCTGGCAGTTCCTTACTCCCAAAGAATAGAATGGTATATAAAGATTGAATTACTAATATTATGTTTTACTAATAGTTTATCTCCTTACAGGTAACACAGGTAGCAAGACAACCGGGACCTCCTGCTCCATCCCCTTACTCTGCACATGAAATAAACAAAGGACATCCAAATCTTGCTGCAACGCCACCAGGACATGCATCATCCCCTGGACTTTCACAGGTAAGAGAGGTGCTGGTTAGAAATTTGCCTGCTCTTGGTTTTTTTTAGTATTTTTCCCTCAGGTCAAGGAGCTCAATTCAAATTTTTTGAGTTATTTACTTTCTGTGACCACTATAAAACTGATTAATGGGGAGCATGCCATTTTAAAGCAACTCCAATCCTGTAGTGACTTATGTGTACCATGCTAGTTGGTTGTTAATCATTAGTGTGTTGTTGCTCATGAAGTGAAAGGATTATATTGGTGTCATCTTAAAAAATTGCAGAAAATATTGGTGACAGTTTTGAGGAATATTCCCATTTCTCACAAACTGTTCTGGGTTATGGTCCATTTTTGTTTTAACCATTGCAGAAGTGCCTCACATATTGTTATAGTGTTTTTCCATGTTACATTTTTTATACAGTGCTGATGGGAAAAGCACTTTACAATTAATATTAAACATAGTGAAATAAATTTACAAAAAGAAGTGCCAATAATACAAGATAAAATGACAGATTGCACACAAAAGAAGGTACAGAAGAAGAGCAAAAAAAGAAATAATAGTAAGGATGAACAAATAATGTTTGATTAGCAAGTTGTTGAGAACAAATTAGTTTTTAGATGTTTTAAATGTCTACTGTTGTACTGGAGTGAAAATGAAAGGAGGAGCATACTCCATAAAAAAAGAGGCAAGAGAGAATGAGAAAAAGGAAATTGAGAAGGGATGCTGCATGAAGTTATGAAGGATTGGAAGTGGAGGAAAGCCAGTGGTGTGGGAGCAGACAAAATGAGAACTAGAATCTTAGGACTTTTCTACTCAGAAACTTAGTGTGTGGTAGGCTAGCGTGCTGTAGATTCACACACTGGTTTACTGCACACTAAGTTCATGTATATAAGCCCTTAAACTTAATTTGGATTTCAGTTGACAATCAGTTGAGCAGATGGAAAAAATGTAAAGCCGTGAGATACCCAGGAGGTTAAGATGGGCAGTAGAGTTCTGAACAAGATGCATCAGTTTACAGGAGAAAGGAGGAAGACCAATTGTGGAATTGGGGGAGGGCAGTGTCCAGAAGACAGGATAAGAGATAATGAGAGCTTCACGCTTACTCTAGGGCTAGGAAAAAGCAACTAAAAATTTTGGCAAACGCTGCTGAAATTTCCAGCCAACCTCTCTAATGTTGGAGAAGCAGAAAAGTGTGTGATCCACTTTTCAGACTGTTTTGATGTGTAAAAGCAAATGAGGATATGTGTGAAACATTCCAGCTAGTATAAATATAGCATATTAGCAGATTACAGATAAAGCACTATGTATATGATACATAGGGTAAAGCACCTCGCTAGAAATCTGGATACTTGTCTGGATACTTGTAAAGGCTTATCCTCTTAGAGGCCTGGAAAGTGGATTCTAAAGTATCTTGCAGGCATTGTGGATGCTGTTGCGGAGCATTACCTTGTACTTTTATGTCACTGCTGCTACTTATCCATTCTTTGGTTTGAAGGTGAAGCCTCACACTACAAAGAGAAACAAATTCCAAGGGTGAAGGAAGCAGGGGAAACCCTAATATCTTTTTTGACCTTTCTTGCATACCAGCAAACTCAGTGAACTTACTGACAAAGGGAAAGCCAATCCCTGAACGACACTGGCGGAGGAGAGGAAGGAGAGTGACCCACACAAAGTTTTAAAATGTTAGCCAAGTTTTTTTCCCTTAATATTTTCCAATTGAGTCAATGTTTACAAAGAAGATGGGGTCTGTGCCAGAATCCCTACTCTAGGCAGCCGTGGAGAATGCTAGTTTGCTGTTCCAATGACTCTTAGGGGCTTTGAAATTAGACCCAGATTGTGCCACCACTGCTTAGACTACAGTATTTTTTTTTATCTGTGATGATCAGTAGGAGGGGCATGGCCTTGTATCCTCCCCACCATCTTGGGGACACTTGTGGGTACTAGGATGGAGCAGTTCCTATGCTTAATTGTACCTGTCCCATGCATTCGTGGCATAAAGGAAGGAAAGCATAAGGGCCAGATACAATCTAGCCCTGTTGAATAGATGGAAGCATCCAGTCATTTGTTTCTCTAGGTGGTTCTGGCAGCTCTTCCGCCAGTACCTTGGACAACCAGTGGTTAGAAATCTTGTTAAAATGAAAGCTTTCTGAACTCTGTAGACAAATAGTAAAAAACGAAAGGGAGAATAATAGTTGTTTTCACTGGTTTTCATTGTTTATGCAAATTGCCTTTAAACAGAGTTTTTCTGCTGTAGTGGGACACATCTGCTGACCCTCTTCTTGTAAGGAGAGTCTCCTCTGCTGACCAGATGGAGGCAGCTAGAGCTTTGTATCTGGGCAAGCCTGGCTAGCAGGAGGTCTGTCCATCAATTGCTCTCTATAGTGTCAAGCCCCTGTGGGAGCTTCCATTAATTTCCCCAGTGGCGAATCTATTCTGTAATAAGATCTTTCTTCACTTCTACACCCTTTTGATTCCCCTGCTTTTGTCTTGACTGCTTTTACTCTCTTTTCTCCCCTGTGTTCCTTTGCTGGTTTCTTCACTGGGCAGAGTACATATTCCTCTGCCTGACTTGCCTCCAGCAGGAAGAATGAAAATGGAAGTGGCTCACACCGATGGCTCCCCATCAAAGCACCAATATCCTCTTCTGCTCTGTGGGGCACTCCACTGAGGCATGGCCCTACTGGAGCTGGAAGATACAGAAATTTTGGGAGCAGCTGAGAACCCCTCATAGAGCCGGGCAGTAGCTGCAGCAGGCTTCTTGGCTCCTATCCGAAAACAGTGTTACAAGAGAAATCAGCTGCAATTGTGGCAACAGTTGCACTTTAGAGAGCAAACCAGCATGGAAGAGAAGCAGCAGCCCCTACACTGTTGAGAGAAAACTCCAGCAAACAAGGTAAAACCAGTTCCTCCTCCTCAGCAGGCAAGAAAGTGGGGGTTGAGATTAACAGGGATCTTCTCATTCGTCCCTACTTTGCTTTGATAGCCAGAACCCCTGCACATGGGTAAGCTCCCAGAGGTACTACACTGAATGCATTTAGTGATAGGAGAGTAGGCAGGTCTCCCCCCACCTATCCTTTGTGAGTGGCCTAGTAAATGTCTCCCCATAGCTATCCCACCTCAGCATCTGTATCATTACTGCCAAAAGCAGCCTCCAAAAATCCAAAAGTCAAAGTATAAAGATGGTTGCTCTCCCCTCAACTGGTTCACCTGAGTCTCTTCCAGTAGGCACACCTGCAAAGGTTACAAACAAAATTTCTAGAGAACATAAAGGACACATAGGTGGATCTCAGATTCTTTCTCAGTTGATGCCACCTCCTTTTTCTGGAAGAGGGAGAGCTATCATAGTTCAGTTTGGAAAAAAAAATCTGACCACAGTAGCCAAAACACACTATTCATGATGGAATACCGTTACACCAGGTTCAAAAGGATCTTCTAAGCTTCTTGTTAAAAGAGTGAAATTTTCCAACTCAGCTCAGTTATAAAGGAGATTATCTCATTAGAATTGGATCAGGCATCTAGTGGGAGATGCCTCAACAGACAGGAAGTAGTACTCTTGTACAAACTTCAAATGACAAAGCCCTGGTATGAATGCCAGAAGTCTGTTGTCTTGCATGCGGAGGCCAAAGAGCCGGTTGTTCCCATTGAAGACAACTGCATGAGGGACCAAGTAGATAGAAGGACTGAGGCCTCACTTTGCAGAAACTATGAAAAGGCAGGTATCTGCAATCCTACAGTTCAGGCACCTACTTTGCTAGGGTATCTCTTCAGTCTATCAGTTGAGTGTGTCCTGATTCAGCAGTGACAGCGCACACAATGCACTCAATACTATAAGAACAAAATTTCCATGACATTGTTGCCAATGACATTGTGATTGCTGTTAGTTTCTCCTCTTATTCCTTGGTTTCCCGTGAGCTACCAATAATCACAGAAGTGTAGGGCTGGAAGGAACCTCACAAGCTGATCTAGTACAGCCCCCTGTATTGAGGCAGGACCAGGTACACCTAGACCAAGGGTTCTCAGACTTTTGTACTGCTGACCCCTTTCACACAGCAAGCCTCTGAGTGTGACCCCCCTTATACATTAAAAACACTTTTTTATATATTTAACACCATTATAAATGCTGGAGGCAAAACGGGGTTTGGGGTGGAGGTTGACAGCTCGCAACCCCCCATGTAATAACCTCACGACCCCTTGAGGGGTCCCGATCCCCAGTTTGAGAACCCCTGACCTAGACAGTCCCTGACAGGTGTTTGTCTAACTCAGGGGTGGGCAAACTTTTTGGCCTGAGGGCCACATTGGAGTATGGAAATTGTATGGCGGGCCATGAATGCTCACAAAATTAGGGGTAGGCTTGCGGGAGGGAGTGAGGGCTCCAGCTGGGGGTGCAGGCTCTGGGGTGGGACCAGAAATGAGGAGTTCAGGGTGCGGGAGGGGGCTCTGGGTTGGGGCGTGGGGGGGGGTGAGGGCTCTGGGCTGGGGCTGGGGATGAGTGGTTTGGAGTTAAGGAGGGGGCTCCAGGCTGGGACCGAGGGGTTCAGAGGGCGGGAGGGGGATCAGGGCTGGGGCAGGGGGTTGGAGTACTGGGGAGAGGTGTGAGGGCTCCAACTGGGGGTGCGGGTTCTGGGGTAGGGCTGGGGATAAGGGGCTTGAGGTACAAGAGGGGGCTCTGGGCTGGGATAGAGGGGTTCGGAGTGTGTGAGGGAATCAGGGCTGTGGCAGGGAATTGGGGCGGCGGGGGGCCTCAGGGGTGGAGGCTCCGGGCAGCGATTACCACAAACAGCTCCCGGAAGCATGTCCCCTCTCCGGCTCTGAGGCGCGGCCAGGTGGCTCTGTGTGCTGCCCTGTCTGCAGACGTCACCCCTGCAGCTCCCTGAGCTGCCTGGCCACGCCTCCGTGTACTATGTAGTAGCTGGAGGGGGGTCATGCCAGCTGCTTCCTGGGAGCCGTGCGCAGCAGGGTCAGCCCCCAACCCTACTCCCTGGCTGGAGCACCGGGAGTGGGGCAAATCCCTGACCCTGCTCCATGGCGGGAGCTGAGGGCCGGATTAAATAGTTTGACGGGCCAGATGTGGCCCGCGGGCCGTAGTTTGCCCACCCCTGGTCTAACTTGTTCTTTAAGACCTCCAGTGATGGTGATGTCCCAACCTTCCTTGGACACCTATTCCAGTGCTTAACTAACCTCAGAGTTAGATTGTCCTAATATTCAACCTAAATCTCCCTTGCTGCAGAGCAAGCCGATTACTTCTTGTCCTGTTTTCAGTGAACATGGAAAACAGTTGATCACCATCCTCTTTATAACAGCCATTAACATATTTGAAGACTTAGCAGGTGTCCTCCCCCCCACCCCCCCGAGTCGGTCTTTTCTCAAGACTAAACATGTCAGGTTTTTTTAACATTTCCTCACTGTTCAGATTTTGGGGATTATTTATTATTTTTGTTGCTGTCTGCAGGACTCTCTCCAGTTTCTTCATATCTTTCCTAAAGTATGGTGCTCAGAACTGGACACAATACTCCAGCGGAGGGCCTCACCATTGTGGAGTAGAGTGGGACAGTTACTTCCCATTTCTTACATACAACATTTCTGTTATACATCCCAGAATGATATTAGCTTTTTTTACAGTTGCTTCACATTGTTGACTCATGTTCAGATTGTGATACACTATAATTCCCAGATCCTTTCCAGCAGTATTACCACCTATCCATTATTCCCCATTTTGTAATAGTTTATTTGATTTTTTTCTTCCTAACTATAGTACTTCACACTTGTCTTTATTGAATTTCATCTTGTTGATTTCAGACCAGTTCATTAAGGTGGTCTTGAATTCTTATCCTGTCGTCCAAAATGCTGGCAACCCCTGCCAGTTTGGTGCCATCCGCAAATTTTATAAACATACTCTCCACTCCATTATCCAGGTTACTAGAGAAAACACTGAATAATACCGAGAGTGCTAAAGGAATTGGCGGCTGTGATTGCAGAGCCATTGGCCATTATCTTTGAAAACTCGTGGCAAACGGAGGAAGTCCCAGATAACTGGAAAAAGGCTAATGTAGTGCCAATCTTTAAAAAAGGGAAGAAGGAGGATCCTGGGAACTACAGGCCAGTCAGCCTCACCTCAGTCCCCGGAAAAATCATGGAGCAGGTCCTCAAAGAATCAATCCTGAAGCACTTAGAGGAGAGGAAAGTGATCAGGAACAGTCAGCATGGATTCACCAAGGGAAGGTCATGCCTGACTAATCTAATTGCCTTCTATGATGAGATTACTGGTTCTGTGGATGAAGGGAAAGCAGTGAATGTATTGTTTCTTGACTTTAGCAAAGCTTTTGACACGGTCTCCCACAGTATTCTTGTCAGCAAGTTAAAGAAGTATGGGCTGGATGAATGCATTATAAAGTGGGTAGAAAGTTGGCTAGATTGTCGGGCTCAACGGGTAGTGATCAATGGCTGCATGTCTAGTTGGCAGCCGGTGTCAAGTGGAGTGCCCCAGGGGTCGGTCCTGGGGCCGGTTTTGTTCAATATCTTCATTAATGATCTGGAGGATGGTGTGGATTGCACTCTCAGCAAATTTGCGGATAATACTAAACTAGGAGGAGTGGTAGATACGCTGGAGGGCAGGGATAGGATACAGAGGGACCTAGACAAATTGGAGGATTGGGCCAAAAGAAATCTGATGAGGTTCAATAAGGATAAGTGCAGGGTCCTGCACTTAGGACGGAAGAACCCAATGCACAGCTACAGACTAGGGACCGAATGGCTAGGCAGCAGTGCTGCGGAAAAGGACCTAGGGGTTACAGTGGACGAGAAGCTGGATATGAGTCAGCAGTGTGCCCTTGTTGCCAAGAAGGCCAATGGCATTTTGGGATGTATAAGTAGGGGCATAACGAGCAGATCGAGGGACGTGATCGTCCCCCTCTATTCGACATTGGTGAGGCCTCATCTGGAGTACTGTGACCAGTTTTGGGCCCCACACTACAAGAAGGATGTGGATAAATTGGAGAGAGTCCAGCGAAGGGCAACTAAAATGATTACGGGTCTGGAACACATGACTTATGAGGAGAGGCTGAGGGAACTGGGATTGTTTAGTCTGCAGAAGAGAAGAATGAGGGGGGATTTGATAGCTGCTTTCAACTACCTGAGAGGTGGTTCCAGAGAGGATGGTTTTAGACTATTCTCAGTGATAGAAGAGGACAGGACAAGGAGTAATGGTCTCAAGTTGCAGTGGGGGAGGTTTAGGTTGGATATTAGGAAAAACTTTTTCACTAGGAGGGTGGTGAAACACTGGAATGCGTTACCTAGGGAGGTGGTAGACTCTCCTTCCTTAGAAGTTTTTAAGGTCAGGCTTGACAAAGCCCTGGCTGGGATGATTTAATTGGGGATTGGTCCTGCTTTGAGCAGGGGGTTGGACTAGATGACCTCCTGAGGTCCCTTCCAACCCTGATATTCTATGATTCTATGAATACCAACCCAGGACAGATTCCTACAGGACCCCAGTGGATATATTCCCCCAGTTTGATGGCGAACCATTGATAACTACTCTTTAAGTACAGTCTAGTTTTGCACCCATCTTACAGTGATTTCATCTAGACCACATTTCATCTAGATTGCTTATGAGAATGTTATGTGGGACTGTGTCAAAAGCCTTACTAAAATCAAGATCGATCATGCCTACATTTTCCTCCCTATCCACTATGCCAGTAACCCTGGCAAAGAAGGAAATTCAGGTGATATGGCACAATTTGTTCTTGACAAGTCCATATTGGCTGTTAATTATAACTCTGTTATATCCTCTAAGTGTTACAAATTGATTGTTTAATGATTTATTACAGCATCTTTCCAGGTATCAAAGCTAGGCTGAGTGGTCTATAATCCTCTGGGTGCTCTCTATTCCCCCTTTTA